CACAATATATTAACAAAATTATTTATTCCAATTTATAATCAAATAATAAATCATTCTCTCTCTCTAAAATAATTCATACCAATTACTAGGTTTGAGCCAACGAAAAGGACTGTGCTACCATCAATTCAAGTTTATACCAATTATAGTTATGGGCCTAGACACCTAATCCAACAATTGTTTTTTGGCAGTTGTGGGTTTCTGAGTAGTCTCTCGATTTTTCTTTATAATATGCCTTGATTTCAAAATGTTTAGAGGGAGCATATGGAATATGTTGGCGTTGTTTCAGAGATTATAACCAAGACGGATTTCAATGACGAAATCCAGTATAAGTGGAAGAGAGTTATAACATCATGTTCCAAGAAGTTTCTTATTTCGGGATTATGGAAAATAAATTGATCAAGTAAAGGCTTTGGGCTTCAAGGGAATATGGTTTAGACCCTATTGGATGTGGATAAATTGCTTATGTGATCCAAGCTCTTGGTTTGTGTTTTGGAGCCAAAGGGTAAATTGGAAAGGTGATATCTCGGGTTTCTTGCATGAATTAAGGATTTTAGTTCAATACGTTTTTATTCCAAAGTAACTAGATAAGATTTTGGGGCTCTTCAATACCTTTTTGTACATATAAAGAACGCCAGAAATGGAGTTGAAATGGAGAAGTTATGGTTGTTTGAAGTTTGTAGTGGAAGTTGGGATTTTGGATTACGCAGGGCGTAACTTGCTGATTTTGGTCGCGTTTTTAATGAGTTACGCAGGGCGTATTCTGGGCAGATCAAACCCTAGTTCTTCGGTTTTGAGCCCTATTTAAGGGCTCTAACTTGTGGGAAACCCTCTCATTACCAGCCTCCATCATCTAAGATCATTCCTTGAGAAACCCTATCCTCCTCTTACTTGTTTTTGAGCCTTCATACCATTTATGAGCTTATTTCTCCATTAAAGGTGGAATCTTGAAGAACAAGGTTGTGCCAAAGTGTATAGAAGAAGGGTTCAAGTATGGATCCAACATGGTTGCTTTATTTCTGGACCATTGTGAGTAAAAGCTTCTATCTTGCTCATTGATTTCTTAGATCTTGTTATTGACCATTTTTGCCACTTTTTGGTCCTTTGAGCTTCTGTTTGGGAGTTAAGTCAACTCCAACACTTTTGAGTTATATGGACACCTTTGTACTATTGGACTTGGAAAGTTATGCTTTGGTACTTGTTCATTCAGTCATGCAAGTTAAGTTAGCATTTTGGTCATTTTAGTGCATAAAGTTTAGATATTATAAGTTTTTTACCTTGTTATGGATAAAGTTGGAAACTTTATCCTTCTAAACATCATATTGATTTAGATCTGAATGATTGAAGACTTGGACTTAATGGATTAAGTTGAGAAAGATGCATTTTTGGTTCCTTTGAGACTTAAAGATTAGATCTTGGTTGTTTGGACCATCCTAATGGATAAAGTTGGAAACTTTATCTCTTATGGAGCTATTAGGAACTAGATATGAGAATTGGACGGTTAACTTTCTGTATTAAGAATTTAATGGAATGTTTGGCTTCAGCGTGAGTACGCAAGGCGTACATATGGGTACGCAACGCATAGCTATGTGTTGTCCCATAAAAGCCAATAAATACTCTAACACAGAGCGTACTCGGTCTGATGTTGGCCTTTGACTTTTGACTGTTGACCGTTGACTTTGACCAAGTTTGACTTTAGGTCATTTGGGGTAATTGTAATAGTAGATTGAGACAGGGTCCCTGTTTATTGCATATGTGACTTTAGAGACAATGTTTGGAGTAGAGACAGTCAACTATCTTTCATACTGTAAGGTGAGTCTTCCTTACTGTACTTGTGGGTCGAAGGCACCAATATCATCCCACTAGATTTTGTTATGTATCCTAGTATATAGGATGTGTTATGATGTAGTGATCTGTTAGAGTGGCAGAATTGTATGAATCTGTATTGTTTAATTATGTTTTTATTGTTGCATATGTCGACATATTGTGGCTGGGTTGAGGCGAGAGGCCAACAAACCTTGGATGTGTTGTCGAGGTGGTAATGCTTTGTGTGGTGGACCAACAAACCCAGGATGGTTGAGTTGGGGCTGTAAGCCAATAAACTCTGGATGGTTGAATTGAGGCTGTAAGCCAACAAACTCTGGACGGTTTGGTTGAGGCCATGGGCCAACAAACTCTATTTGCATGTATTCTACTTGTTAGTATCGCGTTAGGGTATTTTGGCAGAACTCACTAAGCTTCGTGTTTACAGTTTGATTTCATGATTTCAGGTACATCAGATAATCGGGACAAGGCGAAGGCGTGATCGTACATATCCTCTTCTTGATATTTGTTCTTTATAGATTTTGATACTCTGATTTTTATGGCTATGATTTGGAAACAATGTTTTGTATAACTTATGGTTTATGAGAATGGTTTTGAAAAATGAAATTTTTTATTATGATTTTTGGGACGTTACAGTCTCGCATGGTATGTACACTGCAAAAAAAGAAACCAACCAATGTGGTGTTACCACACCTACCGTAGTGTGCCTAGTGGGCGTACGGTAGAGTGCAGTGGTGATGTACATCCACCGGTCTTAGATATCATGAGTTGGAAGGAATAAATATAAACATATAATTTAATATCTATGTGATGCTTGTAAGGAACATATTAATTATGATCAAATAAAAGATATTTTTTTATTATAAAATAACTACATTAATTCTTTCTTTTATTTTCAAATAATTCTTTCTTTTATTTTCAAAATTAGAAGAAAAAAAAAAGGGAAAAAACAATGTTTTTTTTCCGTTCCTCTCTTTTTCATCCATCACAAAACTAAAAGAACATGTATTTATTCATCTCCTTTCTTAAAAGAAACTAAAAAAAGTCTGTTTTCTATAAAATTTGACTAGTGTTGGTAAGAACACAGAGAGTGATCAAAATGTCAAGCTTTTATAAATTGAAGGACTAAATACGTACCAATGAAAACTAAACGACTTAAAATAGGAATTACAAAATAGTGAGCTAAATCAAGTTTGCAGTTATATTTTTCTTCACCCCTCAATATTCAAACACTTCTCAGTCAAGGCCCCAACACTTCTCTATTTCACGATTTTAATTTAGTATTAACATGGTCTGATTGAGATGATCAAGACCACCCAAATAAGTGGAAATGGTGGCTTCAACATTATCATTTCTTATCTAAACTCAAAAAAACTATCTAGTCCGATATATATGTTTTTAATAATAATAATAAAAAAAATCATAATCTTTTTATGTGCTTATTGCATAACATAAGAGTTATTCCGAATTCTCTCGTGGGTGAAGGAGATACATTTCGATACTGGTGGTTTTTGGAAAATATGAATAATCATATTATATTTCTGAACCTTCATTAGAAAAAAAAAACATTTTTAAGATAATTGTAATCAAATTCTATAGGCAGTCTATTTGCTTGCTTTCTTGTTGGTGTATGTCAGCCAATAATATTTATGTAGGATACTGGCAGCATCACGATGACTTTTTTTAAAGAAAAAAAAACGTATAAATTTTATTTATTTATTATTTATTTTAATGTGGAAGTGTTATTATTCGAATTGGAAAATTATACCTCCCTGCTCAAGAGTTATAATCCCCACCCCCCACTTTTATAACTTTGTTCATCTTTTTAGACTGCTCAAGATTTATAATCCTCACCATTTTGTTAGACTCTTTTATACCGATGGATGTTATACCATATCTTATCATATTTTGAAAGTCATATTATTTTCTCTCGTCTCTCACCACAACAAAAAACTAATAGGAATGTCACCTTTCCCCTCACTTTTTAATAGTATATATATTAATATATATATATATATATATATATATATATATATAGAATAATATATATATATGGAAATATATATACTTGATGATATACATTTGATCTCATAAGCAGAAAATACATGTTTATAACTGATTCAGCAGAACTGAATCCAAAAATTCATATTACAACTATAAAAATATACATTTTACAATCTCACCTAAGCTTAGGTAGTAAACCTCATTAAATACGTTGTTTTACTATATAAAGATTGCGGTTAGGGGACTACGATTAACACTTGAAGATGTAGATTCAAGATCGACGCAATAGTTTGATAAAGAAGCAAGAATATTGATTATCTTCAACCTTTGTGACAATGAAAAAAGTAATGTTCACTAGGGTGAAGTAATAAACAATAATGAAGAAAAGAAAATACAGATGGTAAACGATAATGGAGGAAAAAAATGTTATTAGGATAGTATATTTAACAAGTGAAAACCAAATCAGGTATATTTACTAAGTTAAAACGACATATTTAGAGGTTTTTATCTAAGTTTAGGTGGGCTGTAATGTTATTGTAATGTATATCCATATATATATATATATATATATTATCTATATATATATATATATATATATATATTATATATTAATGTTATATTTTATTTGAATGACGGATGGGGTTCTCACCCATTACTTCGACAATTAACCATTTTGTGTGAATTTTTAAAATGTTTTATCCTCCTCATATGGAAAAGCTTTCATCGAAAGAGTTTGCCATATTCATTTGTGTTGACTTTAAATAGACATCGCTATCTATTTTTTAACATAAAATAAAAATATTGTATACTTTAACAAAACATATATATTTTAATCTAAAATCTGTTAAAATTTTTGGAATGCTTTAAAATGAGAAGATTGGAAGAAGATTAAACCCAAACGCAAGACTACAACCTGAAGTGCAAAGAAATATTTACCATCATCTTCATGGTAAGGTTATTAAGGCAAGAATGAATGGCGTAAAAGTTTAATCAAGACTTTTGCGTGCTCGAAGCCCGCAAGGAAGTCGACCCATAATCCTCTGAAGCCTGTAAATTTATTAAATTCTTGGAGCAAGCACAGCCTGCGGTGTGGGTGAAAGTGTGTGTGTGTGTTTTAGATCAGAAGCAATCCTGGGAAAGCACGGAGAGTTGGTGTTGGATGGAATTTTCGATTGCTTCCATGAAATCGCGGTGGCGCTTGCTTTCGGTAGGATGACGGACTCTGCTTACCGGGTCGTTACCACGTCCCGTCTCGCTCAATGGCGTATCGACGATTTCAGCTCTTCTTACCGAAAATCCGATCCTTTCAAGATCGGCAACTGGAACTGGTAAGTTTCGTTATTTACCCAATAATACTGCCTTCTTTGATTTTTTGTTCTTTTGTTATGAATAAGCGATCTTTAATTAGCAAACAAAACAGAGTACTGAAAATTATAGAATGCATTCGTTCCAAGAAGTATCACAACCAATTCCGTTTGTTGTTGGACGAAATGCATAATATATCCTATCATGACTGAAGGCAGAAAATGCAGCCAGGGAATCATAAATGCAGTTTTAATATTTGAAAAGATGAGATTAATGATTCTTGTTTATTGTTACTTTGTAAAATGAAAGGCATTTAGTTGTGGAAAAGAATCGAAAAATATGGTTGATTAAACTCTTCCCAGAGATACCAAAGTTAGCTGGAGACAGTCCTCCTCCTCATCCGGTTGCTTCCTTCGACATTCGTATAATATCCTTTTTGGGAGGCCGCAAGACTTTGGTTCATCCAGGTAATTTTACTATTTACGCACTTTATTTGATAATTAATAATATTTAAAGTAAGGAATCCTTTCTAGTATCCACATGAATATCATGATCTTTATTTTTAATTTTTTATGTGTGTAGAAGTTAGGGATAAGCCGCTGCATAGTGGTGAGGATTTTATCTGGGCGCTTGAGGTTCCATTGACCGGGAAATTCATCATTGATGTTGAGTTTCTTGATCTCAAGACTGCATCTCCAGACGTAAAATTTCATTCATCTTTCCTTTTTCAGCTTTTTAACACCCTTTACACTATATTAATTCAATTTACTGTTTCTGAAAATGATCTTGTAGCCGTAGGTAGCTAAATTCAACTATTAGTTAATCGGTGGGGTGTGTGTGTGTGAATTAATTTATAGCTAGGTTAGTTGACGTGTGCAGTAAAACTACTTCACTCGAAGTCGAATCAAAGTTTGTACCATATGAAAAGTGAAAACTAACTATTTAAATTGGTAGAATAAGTAACATTTTATATTTGTTTATGTAATAAACAAACAAACAGGGAGGCGAGGAAGTATTTTCGATTTGGGTTGCGAGTGAAGGGTTCCCACACCCACAGAAACAGAACACAAGAGCAGTTTCTTCTGTTTCTCTTGGGCGAATGTTATCAGAAAGTATCCACACAGATATCATCATTCGTGCTTCGGATGGAAGCATTGGGCCCACAGGGCGGTTCTTGCAGCCCGTTCACCGGTCTTTCGAAGCATGTTCTCCCACGACTTGAAAGAGAAAGAGATGTCTGCCATAAACATCTCTGACATGTCCATTCAAGCTTGCCAAGCTTTTCTCAGCTACATATACGCTAACATACAGTACCAAGATTTCTCACTCACAGACTCCATCTTCTCAGAGCTGCTGACAAGTATGATGTTTCAGATCTCAAAGATGCATGCCAAGAAAGCCTGTTACAAGATATTCACGCCAACAATGTTCTTGACAGGCTCCAGAGCGCTTCTCTATATCGTTTGCCAATGCTCAAGCTCGGATGCCTTGAGTATCTTGTCAAGTTTGGTAAGATTTTTGACATTATAGACGAATTCAATGCATTTATACAATCTGCTGATAGGGAACTCATAGCTGAAGTTGTAAATGAAATTCTTTCTGTCTGGAAAGGTTTCTGAAACTCTGATCCATTATTAATTTGTTTATCTATTGATTCATGCATTACCACATGTGCTTTATTTGTTTGGATTAAAATGCAAATCATTTGTTTTGTGTGCGTGTGTGTGTACAAAATAGTTCTTTTTCCAAGCAAATATAAAGGAACCACGCTGGACAGCTGGTTATGGTTATAAGTTTGTATTAACCAACTTTGATGCAGCTATCAGACGTGCTTACATTAGGACATTATCAATGTTGTTTCATCATTCTTGATCCTATGTGATACATTCCATGAATCTTTGTGTTGTTCGCATGTTTGTAGTTGCTTCTAAGCTTCGCTTTATGGTTTATTTTTGTTGTTTTGTCACAAGAGCCTTAAATTCCATTAGCTAATAACCGTGTAATTACGAAAAAAAATTTAGACATTGGTGAGAAAAAAGTGTTTGTGTGATAATCAAAAACTGGATCCTGTCAGTTGACTTCCATTAATTTGTATATTCATCATATGTTTGGGTATCATAAATTGTGACACATGACAATCCAAATTTTAAATGATAAATTGAAGAGGTGACACTTTGAGTCTTAGGCACAAGAATGAGAAGAACAAAAATTACTTTTGTGTATGGTATAAATCAAATCACAAGAGAGCCAAAAACATGGTATTTTGACCCAAAAGAGTTTTTGACACTGTAGCACATCAGTGTTTGGTCAATTTGCACATTTAGTCACTAACGTTTTTTTTGTGCTCAATTGATCCTTAATGTTAGTAAATACCGGCTAATTAAAGGAATGGGAGAAAATGTTACTGGTTTAGGGGTCATTGATGATGTGTATTGGCTTATGTGGACAACCATTTGACCATGTCATCTTATAAAGTGGAAACCTTCCTTAAATGAACCCTCATTCGAACCATCGACGATACATTGTTACCCCAAATTAGGTCAGTGCCTCCCTCCCGATACTCTACATTCAATCGATATAACCAGAGCAATGTCTGCCTCCTCCGGTCGATCGATCAACCTCCTGCATGTCGGAAACCTTCGTAATGATGAACCCTGCCCACCTTATGATTGTAAAGACGCAATAAGCGTGGAAAGGACTACCTGGACTGACGATAATATAGCTCGAAGGTTTTGGAACTGCAAAAACTCTTTGGTGAGTATTCCTTTTGTTTACTTACACCGTATTTGTTATTTTGAGCTGGAAATGTACACATTTTGTTAATCGTAACCCTAACCCTAATTTAGGTATTCCTTTTTAATCAGTCAGCTGAAGGTCCAAAATGCAAGTTTTTTTGTGCAAAGACAAAGAAATGGAGCAGGGTTACTACAAAGACCAGCTTCGCAAGATGAGGTTTGAGCTGAAAAGGAAAGAAGACTTCAGTGAAGTTTTGAACGTTCAAAAGAAGTTGGTTAAGCTGCAGCAAACTATGGAAGCAGATAAGCAAATGTTTGAGACAAAGCTGACGGAGTTGATGAAGCAAAACAGTCTGTTGAAAGTGTGGGATCTTTGTTATGGTCATTGTAGTCACTGCCATGTGGTTGAAGTGCCCTTGAAAAGTGCAGCTGATCAAATAGGTATTTATGGTTAATGGTATATAATTTCAACCAGTTTTTTGGAAAGTGTATGGGTGGATGTAGAAAGTTGTTTGCTTTTTTGGGAAGTGTATGGATGTATGGGTACATGGTCATGGTTAGATCCTAGTTGTAATGTCTAGTCAGGTTTTTGGTTGAATGCTTGTTTGATCAGTATGTGTATAGGATGGCAGTAGATGGGAACAATTGTAATGAATTTTTGTAGATTCAATGAATGGTATGAAAGATCCTACTAGTTATATACCTTGCTAAGTTTAATGATATGCATGTGCTCCTTTTAAAAATTGAAGTGTGGGTACCACATTGTCGGCCATCAGGACCTCACTTGGTCCATTTAAAAGTGAATTGTGTTTTGTGTTCTGTGTAGGGGTCTTTTTTGTGCAAAAATAAGGGCATATGGACCATACGTGGTATATAAGGACATAATCAATGACAATTTAAAATTAGCTATATATGGAAAAATATTCCTTTGCCATGCAGTTTAATCGCACAAGTCCTTGCCATGCATGCAACTTCAAAATAACACACACTACTATAAAAACAACCTTTTACGACGCACAATGCGTGTCGTAAAACACTCAGATGACGCGCAAATGCGCATCAAGGAAGACCCTGTCATAACGAGAGACGACACGCTTTTGCGTGTCGTAACCTTACGACGCGCATTTACGACGCACGTTTACGACGCACAATGTGTGTCAAGGAAGGCCCTGTCATAAAGAAGATGACACACATTCGCGTGTCGTAAAACGATCCACATTTACGACTTGCATTGCGTATCATTAAAGGACATGTCATAAAAAGACGACACACATTTTTGCGTGTCATAAAGTTTAAATGTTTTAAAATATATATATATATATATATATATATATAGATATATATATATTATATTATATATAGATATATATATTATATATATTTTGTAAATTTACTTATTTTCAAATTACATCACACATTTAATATCTCATAACATAAATAAAATTTCATACACAAAAATAAAATAAATTGCACAAATTATAATGTCATACAAATAATCATTCAAATGTTAAATAAAAACAATACATTGCTAACATCGGTTATACATTCCTATAAAACTAACAACCCTCGTTGACCTTCATCTAGATCAAGTTCGACTTGGATCGATGGCGACGATTGGATTTTAGATACACAACATGATTACTGACCTAAGACCTTGTGCAACAAGTGCATCCCATGCCCTATTTCCAGCAACCACCAACACGTTTTAGTGTCTCAAGGGATAATATACTTCCTCCCTGCCATCCAATAGCTTTCATTAACAATGAAACCACCTGAAATTTATTAAAAAAAACAAGGTCAAAACTGAAAACTAAGTATGCCCTTGCTCCTTTTTTTCCCCTTCACATAGGCAAATAATGATGTCTATCTGGATAAAGCTTGTTCCTTTTCTAGACTGTAAGAGGATTTGATTGAGTCATTAAGTCCATTAAGTCAAAATGAAACATATACTAAGTATGCCCTTTAATATGAGCCATCCTTTCATATAATATTTTTATAACAAATCAATAGAAGCTTTTTTATAACAAATCAACCAACCACATCAGTCATATATAAATTATTATAATAAAAACAAACAAACAAATTTACACGATACAATGAGTTAAGAATATCAAATCTGCTTACCAGATGTTCTAGAATCCCACATTAAACTACAAGAAATATGTAAAACAAAATGATGAGGGTGAGAAGGGCAATTAAGTCTTTCACAATCAGCTTCATTTCTGTTTAGGCTAAAAGAGAATACCTGTTCTTTTACTAAGCCTTGTTCAACCATATTGTACCTGTAAATTGTAATTAGAAGAAGACTATAAGTCACAACAAAAAGAGAGGAAAATAGTTGATCCAAATTCAGATGAGTTATTACCTGACTGTGGTTAACCAGAATGTGAAAACAGACTTTTCTTAAAATTATGTAGTGGCCAAAAGAGTAACTATATCAAAGCATAAAACAAAACTTATAATAACAAAATCAAAATCCAAAAAGAAGTGTGCTTTGAAATTTGACAGGAAAAGAAAATGAGAGACATGGTTAACATAATCATTCTCCTCAATAGCATCCAAGATAGTTCGACACAACAACGATGACCACACCTGCAATCACAAAGACCAAATTAAAAACAGACACTTTTATTTACTTTTTGGGATAAATAATGGAGTAATAAAGATTTGAAATTTAAATATGAACATATCGGCCATCGGCTATCTTTGTCAAGCTTGGAAGCTCCTTCTTCGGCTTGGTTGAAGTAAAACCTAGCCCGGTTAATCTGCCCTTTCATGAATTCTCTGCAATTATCAGTCACTCTTCTTGAGTAAAATCGTCATCACATAGCCCATATTGGGCTAGCTCATCTTGAGGAAGATACACTCTACCTCTTAATGCACTGAAACAAAATGAAATGTAATTATGAACAATATAAAAGGTAGACTCTAATATGTGTAGAGGCTCTATTATGTCATGAAGTTTACAACAAAAAGAAAAAGTATTTGTCATAAATTAACATGATTAGACTGAGGGCATACTTTAGCTAATAACCTTGAACCCATAACATATGTAGGAGTAGAAAGAAACAGACATCAGTTACTTCATTGTTGTATGTAATGCAAAAGAAAATAAAGGGCATACATGTAAATTCACTTAGGAGCAGTAAGAAGCTTTAATTTTAAGATAAGGTTAAGCTTTAAGGTTAAGCTTGCATAAAGAGACACTAAATGGCTTCTTTTTTACTTAATAGAGTTAATGGGTAAAGCACTTAATCTACACAACTTTATGGGGTTGTTTCTTTTTCATGTAATTTCTTTTTCATGTTTGTACCGTAAACATTAGGTTACTCCTCTTCAATTCAATTGGTTTCTTGTAGGCAAAAAGAATGGTATTAATTTGTTTGTTTAATTTTAATAGCAGAAAGTGAAAGATGGAAGAGTTTGGGAGGTTAAAAAGGGATTATTTGATAAAGGGTCCCCTGAACAAAAATCATGGCAGACATTTCCTGAGGAGAATCCCACAAACAACTCCAAATCTGTTAGAACAAGAAACAATGGGCACCAGAACAAGCAAGCGGCTGAAGGCGGCACCACCAGTTGGGTTTTGAAAAAAAGACAAAACATTAATGAATAGATTTGGCAACACCAAGACTTTTTTTCTTCCAAATTTTCCCTCATGGGAAAAAGAAAGAAACAGGGTCTATGTCTTACCAGGTCTCTGAGAAGACTTCACTTCACTACCAGGTTTATTTGTACTACTGTCTTTGCTGCAATGAAACCGAAGAAGAAATATATTTTTTCTGAGTAAATGTCCTAAATACCCTCAGAATCGTAAATCATAATAACAAGTAACAGACCTTGTAGGAGTCAATGCAGAGGTCTGGCCAGATGGCCTAGCATGATAAGCACCATCCATTGTGATATAAGGTGAATAATATGTTGCCCCTAAAGCTCCTGCAGCACCTAAAGCCCCAGCAGCACCAGCCAAAACAGGTAGCCTACAACAAAATTTCACAATTTTATCCATTTATTCACCAAACTATTATTATCTTAAATATTTATTTATTTATATATATTTAAAGTACCATGTCATTTCTGAATTCCCCATTCCATTGGGGTGAGTAACATAGCCAGGGAATGCCATGTCAACAGCAGGAACTCCAAGGCCACCAGGATGCTGCCCCGCAAATTGCATAACTGGAAATTTAATAACATATTAGACACCATAAAAATTTAACATTTTTTAATGACCAAATAGCCCTTGGTTTACCTTGCAAAAACGTTGGAGCAGCAGGGAAATTCTGATCACCATGATAAGAAAATGAGCTCATACCCGTTGTCTAAAGACTGCCTTTTCCTTTTCCATTTCCATTTCCAACCAATGTTGTTTTAGAATTATCATTAGATTCTGTAAGAGATTCCATTTCTGCGGATTCTTTAGGTGGTGGGGAAGAACGGGACCCACTAGCAGAACGCTGTCTGAATTGCTGACCGGGATTTTGCAGATTGGGGTTAAGCTGGTTAAGGGCAGGAGCTCGTTGGAAAGAATGAACTTGATTTAATAGAATCCTCTTGTATACTATAATTAAATTCTTAATTAAGAACATAGCATCATATATGAAGAAAAACTTTAACCTTGCCTTCATCAATCGAGACAGGGATGGAACCACATTGATAGGTGGGTAAATCTATAGATTTTCATCATACAAGTTACAACAAGTAAATTTTAATCTTAAAAAGCAAGTGCAGGAACAAAAAGTTAAGTTTAGAATCTGTAACATCGTAAATTCCAAAACAATTTTTCACTTTTAAAAAAATAAAATTTCATTCATAAATATTATCAATCTCCATGTATCACATATCAATCCATAAAATTCACCCCAAGATCACAATACATAAAAACTCCACAAGTGTGTACTGATCATGCCGGCGCCTTCCCGCGATCCTCACTGGTACCTGAAACACATAACACAAAACACTGTAAACATAAATGCTTAGTGAGTTCCCCAAAATACCACATATAACACATATTAGCCACTCGAGGCTATAACTCTGTGGGCCCACTGGCCCTAACTCTATGGACCCTCTGGTCCTAACTCTGTGGACCTTCCGGTCCTAACTCTGTAAACTCTGGAATAAACACAGCATAAATCACATAGAAATAATGCAGTGCAACACATCACATACATAGCATACAAGATACTCTGTCACATAACTCTACTTACCACTCAAGGTAAAGTATAGTGAGAAGACTCACCTCGGGTAACTCGGTAAATCTCGAACTCGGAAATACTGATCTAGCCTCCGCCTAATCACATAAAATAATTACTCTAATTAATACGACTCTCAAAGGCTAGATTATTCCCTCTCTAAGTTCTCTCAAGAGGGTAAAAGACCATTTTACCCCTCCAATGGCTCAATAGTCCAAACATTGACTAGGCTCTAAAAGTCAACGAAAGTCAACGGTCAACTTTGACCAGACTCGTCGAGTGCACATAGGTGACTCGGCGAGTCCAAGCGTGTCCTCTGGGTCTTTCTAAACCTCACTCGACTCGTCGAGCGAACCTTCCACTCGACGAGTTACCACTGGTCATGAGTCGCGGGGTAACCCGACTCGACTCGTCGAGTCCCCTTATGGACTCGGCGAGTCCCTTCCATGTCAACACTCAAACGACCTTCTGAGGTCAGATCTGCTTCTCCAACTAGTAGATCTAACCTTCTAGCACTCAAAAGTCACGTAAAGGTTCAAACTTTACGTTCATGCAACACATACAAAGCCATGAATGGAGAAATATCCCTTAAAATGATAACCTACTCTCAAAACTCTCATGAAACAGCATAAAGCTGGAAGGTTGGGACTTTTTGGACCTCTCACGGTCCAGATCTAACATCTACACCACTTTGGGACATCACATGCTTCAAGATCCAACTCAAAAAGATGCAAGGAACCCTAGATTCAAGAAATATATCAAATACATGAAATGGGAAAGGATTTGTACCTCTAGAAGCGAGTCTTAGTCTGAACAACACAGATCTAAGCTCCACAATCGATCTAGCTTGGACTTTCCCACTACTTCTTGCAAGATTACACCAAAAGGATGAAGAATTAGCCTTTCCCTTGCTCTCTAAGCTCTCTTCGCTCTCTAGGGTTTCTCAGGGGAGTAAGTGGCAGCAAATGAAGGCCATAAGGACCTTTAAAAAGGGCACAGGCCCAAAGATTTAGGGTTTTTGTCACTAGCACAGACTCGTCGAGTCACCTAGCCGACTCGTCGAGTCCATTCATTAATCCAGTCAGCGAATCGCGACCCTACTCGACGAGTCTAGGCGTCAACTCGTCGAGTCCCTCCCTTTAACTCAAAATCAATGATTAAAATAAAATACCTGGGAATCCGGATGTTACAATTCTCCCTCACTAGAATCAGACTTCGCCCTCGAAGTCTTACTCTGCAAACAACTCTGGATGCTGCTCCTGCATCTCCAACTCCGGCTCCCAAGTCAGCTCGGACCCTCTCCGATGTTGCCACTGGACCTGAACCAGGGGCACCTCCTTGTTCCTCAGAACCTTGACCTTTCGATCCCGGATCGCGATCGGTCTCTCAACATAATTCAGGCTCGCATCCACCTGAATATCCTCCAGCGGCACCACCGCCGACTCGTCGGCTATACACTTCCTCAACTGAGACACGTGGAAGGTATCATGTATCTGGCTCAACTCCACAGGTAGCTCCAAACGATACGCTACACTGCCCACCCTCGCGGTCACCCAGAACGGACCAATGTACCGGGGTCCTAGCTTGCCCCTCTTCCTGAATCGGATCACTCCTTTCCAAGGAGATACCTTCAGGAGAACGAAGTCTCCCACCTGGAACTCGAGCTCAGATCGTCGCCTATCCGCATAACTCTTCTGGCGACTCTGAGCTGTCAACAATCTCTGTCTGACCTGCTGCAGCTACTCTGTCGTCTGAAGCACTATCTCGGTGCTACCCATCACTCGCTGCCCTACCTCTCCCCAACAAATGGGAGTCCGACATCTCCTCCCATACAACAACTCGAAGGGAGGCATACCGATACTCGAATGGTGGCTGTTGTTATAGGAAAACTCAGCCAACGGGAAGTACGTGTCCCAACTTCCTCCGAAGTCTAACACACATGCTCGAAGCATATCCTCGAGTGTCTGAATCGTCCGCTCACTCTGCCCGTCTGTCTGTGGGTGGTATGCGGTACTGAAATGCAGCCTCGTACCCAACTCCTCATGGAACTTCTTCCAGAACCTGGAAGTGAAACGTACATCTCGATCTGACACAATCGAGATCGGTACTCCATGATGCGACACCACCTCTCTCACATACAACTCGGCCAGCCTGTCTGCGGAAGAGATCTCACTGATAGCAAGGAAGTGAGCGCTCTTCGTCAGCCGGTCAACGATCACCCAAATTGCATCAACGCCCCTCGCGGTCCTCGGCAATTTGGTGATAAAATCCATAGAAATCTGTTCCCACATCCACTGGGGAATCTCAAGTGGCTGTAACTTTCCATGCGGACGCTGGCGCTCGGCCTTAACCTTGCCACATGTCAAGCACCTCTCCACAAACCACGCGACATCCCTCTTCATACAGGGCCACCAATACTCGCTCTTCAGGTCCAAATACATCTTAGTGGCCCCGGGATGGATCGAGAACCTCGATCTGTGCGCCTCTTCCATCAGAATAGTACGTGCCCCGCCTGTATACGGCACCCAAATCCGACCTTGAAAGGTCATCAACCCTCGGCCATCGGTAACGAACTCAGACACCTGCCCGATCACTTGCTCCCTCTTGCGGTTCTCTAGTATCACGGCCTCTGCCTGGGCCTCCCGAATGGTGTCCAACACCGGAGTCATCACCATCAATCGCATACAAATATCTCGAATCGGGGCACTCTCTGCCCTACGGCTTAGAGCGTCAGCTACAACATTAGCTTTGTCCAGGTGGTACAGGATCTCACAATCGTAATCCTTTACCACATCTAACCATCTCCTCTGGCGCATATTCATGTTGGGCTGATCCATAAAAATACTTCAAACTCTTGTGGTCCGTGTATATGGTACACCGAACCCCATACAGATAGTGACACCAGATCTTGAGGGCGAACACCACTGCCCCCAACTCCAGATCGTGGGTGGGATACCTCGTCTCATGAGGCTTCAGCTGCCTCGATGCATACGCTATCACATGCCCCTTCTGCATAAGTACCGCACCTAACCCCGATATCGATGCGTCGCAGTACACCACAAAATCCTCCATTCCCTCTAGAAGGGATAACACCGGGGCTTCGCACAACCTCTGGCGAAGAGTCTCGAACGAGGTCTGCTGCTCCGGACCCCATGAAAAAGCAACGCCCTTCCGGGTCAACTTGGTGAGAGGCACGACAATCTTGGAGAAATCCTTGATAATTCTCCGATAACAGCCGGCCAACCCCAGAAAACTCCTGATCTATGAAGGGGATCTCAGCACCTCCCAACTCATCACAGCCTCAATCTTGGCCGGATCGACCAATATCCCATTCTGGTTGACGAGGTGTCCTAGGAACTGGACCTCTTGTAACCAGAAATCACACTTGGAGAATTTGGCGTAAAGCCTCTCCGATCTCAGAACTCTGAGGATCTCCCTCAAATGCTCCTCATGCTGCTCTCTGGATCTCGAATACACCAATATATCATCAATGAACACGATCACCGAACGATCCAACATCGGCCTGCACACCCTGTTCATGAGATCCATGAACGCCGCCGGTGCATTGGTGAGCCCGAAAGGCATCACCACGAACTCGTAATGCCCATAACGAGTCCTGAACGCTGTCTTCTGGATATCCTCATCACGCACTCTCATCTGATGATATCCAGACCTCAGATCAATCTTGGAGAACCAAGACGCTCCCTGCAACTGATCGAACAAATTGTCGATCCTCGGTAAGGGGTAACGGTTCTTGACCGTTAGCTTGTTCAACTCCCGGTAATCAATGCACATCCGGTGTGAACCATCCTTTTTCTTGACAAAAAGGATCGGCGCTCCCCACGGCGAGCTACTCAGCCGAATAAACCCCTTCCCCAGAAGCTCCTGCAGCTGTGAGGATAACTCCTGCATCTCTTGTGGCGCAAGGCGATAAGGCGCCTTGGCGATAGGCGCTGCCCCCGGAACCAAATCGATACAGAACTCTACCTGCCTCTCGGGAGGCACACCCGACAACTCCTCGGGGAAAATATCCGGGATCTCACGCACTATCGGAACCTCATCGACCGATCTCGGCCTCTCCGCATCAAACCTCGTATCCATCACATAAGCCACAAACCCAC